ACACACACGACACGACACACACACACACACACACACACACACACACACACGACACACACACACACACACACACACACACACACACAATATATATATATATATATATATATATATATATATATATCTGCCCTACACACTATACCATACAAACATGTAGTACTGCACAAAAGCTTCATTCCTTTCTTGCCGCTGTCTCTCCATTAATTACAAACGAGCGGGCGATGTGTTGCCTGTCAAATTAGTAGGAATTATTATTTTTTAGTGGGGTCACTGGAATTTTTGCCAGTCCGTCGGAGATTCGGTCACATAAGCCGGTTTTATACTATTGTTTGGAAAAAATGAGTATTTCCCGAGTTTATGCAGCTTGAAACTCATAACTCGGGTTTATTTTTCCTCGCGTACACACATAACCCGGGTTATTTTACTTGGTATAGATGCATAAACCCGGACTTTTTTTCTTGTGTAGACACATAATCCGGGTTACCTTTCCTCGCGTATATACGCATAACCAGGGTTATCTCTTTGGTGTGGACACTGTTTCCAAGCAGGCAATTATATCAGCCTCCTACTCTGGCATCCGTCTTAGTGGATTCTAGCACGCATGCAGCAGTATTTCGAACAGGTGAAATTGCTTACGGTAATTGCTGTTCACAATATCGCATGCGTTCTGTTAATTAAGGTAACGCAGCCAACGTCAGACCTTTTGCTTTTTAAAACGTAGTTACGTATAATAATAATAATAATAATAATAATAATAATAATAATAATAATAATAATAAGCACACATCCTGCGAAAAATTCTGGAGTGAATCCTTATGTCCCAGGTTGGGACACGGTCAACCCAGAAGCCACCGGCTAATGCCGTGATCCACTTTGGAAATAATAATAATAATAATATTAATAACTTACCATCATGGCGACGACTCACACCGGTCACGTGATCACGTGAGGCACGCATGCGTATAGTGATTTCGAGAGTCGTTAGAAACCATTTCTTTACTTGGAATAATATGACGACCCCAGATAATGAGCAACTGTGGCTAATTCTACTGATTTTCCCCCACGTTATATATCAACGTGCGTGCCTCGTTTCTTTCTTCGTTTACGATCATATACCGTGATCATGGACGATCATATACCACGATCATATATCATTATCATAAGCTAGGATTATAGATAAGAGCGCGTCATTAAATTGTCATTGTTTTCGCAGGACTAGCTACCTGCTAATGCTTGCTAATACCTATTCTACTACGCCTCTATAATGGCTATACCTACTCTTAATGTTATACAGCGAAGAGAATGTAATGGCTAGTCCGCTTTTATAGATCCACTTCTAGAGACCGTAATGGTAATTAAAATTACAACATTGATGTTGGTTTCGCGTCGCGGAGCTTAAAGCCGGATTAGTTGAAATCATGTCGGGTCTCTGATATAGCCACATGAGTAATTTACATTTGTTCGGTATTTACCCTTGGTAGTAACCAGAGCTTATAACAGGTGGATGCTGGTTTCGTTTCGCAGGCGTGGAGGCAAACATCGAGAGATAAATTCGAACCATGCCCCGGTACACACGATTTGCATATAGCAGCAGGAGTGATATGCCCCCCTGTTTAGTATTCCCTCGTGATTGTAACTAGATTCTATAACGGGTGATTTCTTCTTGTCGCAGGCGCTGAAGCAAACATTGAGAGATTCGTCGTTGGAGCCATGCCGGAGCCTAGTAACGATTACAGGGTGGTCGTGTTTGGCGCGGGAGGCGTGGGGAAGTCGTCACTGGTGCTTCGCTTCGTGCGAGGCACGTTCAGGGAGAGCTACATACCGACGATAGAGGATACTTATCGACAGGTAAGCGGTGTACGGCGCGCGTCGCGCACGCACGCACGCACACGCACGCGCGCGCACATACGCACACACGCACACGCACGGACGCGCGCACACACACACACACACACACACACACACACGCACGGACGCGCACACACGCGCACGGACGCGTACACACGCACACGGACACATGCACACGGACACGCACACACGCACACGCACACGCACGCACGCACGCACGCGCACACACGCATGCACAGGCACGCACGCACGCACGCACGCACGCACACGGACGCGCACACGGAAGCGCACACACGCACTCACGCGCACACACCCACGTACACATACGTGTATATCATAGACGCAATTAGAGACATTTAATCCACACAGAAACACGCACGCACGCACGCACGCGCATAGGGTTAATCGATGCAGTATTCATATATATGCATATAATCCATAATCTGGGGACAAAAGCTTGACTCGTCTGATTCATTTATGCTTTAATGCGGATGTCTGAAGATAAGTAAGTCGCAACGCCGATCACAAAGCAGCGATACGGGAAGCTTCGGTACAGTAGCAGGCACCGCATAATCATTGAATTTAGCAAAGCTGATTGCGCGTTTTTTAATGAGAATTTCTCATTAATGCTTGCTTCGTGATTTGCGTGCAAAGGCTCGATTAGTCTTTAATTTAGTAGTCACGCCGCACGTCTGCAGTCAATATTAACGCATCAATTCCCTGCGCTTGCGTTTAAGTCATTTTGGGATTCGTTATAATTATTTAAATTAGCAATGGCGGTTTCGCAATGAAAATGACGTGACGTATCCGCAGTTGGAACTCATGTGCTTGTTCTGTCTCACAGCGCATGCCTGAACACAGTACTGGCACATTTATATCCTGTATCGCAGTATATATCGACGGGGGACCTATCAATTGTCTATTATTTCCGCGATGCTATTGGATGCGTTTAAAGGAAAGTCGCTCCTACACAATTTACTCAATGACTTTAGGCACAAAAACTGCTCTGAAATTCACAGCATAGATTGACGAAAGATAATCACGCTCAATCGCTACACTAAAAGTATTTTACGTCAGCGCCGCGCTCTGGTCGCTTGCATCTCTCCCGATCGTTATCATTCCTTTTCGCTTCACCACAATTCCGCTAGGCGGCGCTTTCACGTGCCGCATCGTAGATTCATGCTAGCCATGATAACATCGAATGACGTTATCAGTTTTAGAGACCGTCCCCGCTACGTCGCGCAAGCTAGATCGTGGACACCACGGCTCCCCTATGCAAACATCCAAACTAATATATAATCCGACTTTCATCAGAATCGCCCGTGCAGCGCACAATCGATCCAATTCGAACAGTATAAACACCACCTTTTACGCATCCGCAGGTGATCAGCTGCAACAAGAACATCTGCACGCTGCAGATCACCGACACGACGGGCAGCCATCAGTTCCCCGCGATGCAGCGCCTCAGCATCAGCAAGGGTCACGCCTTCATCCTCGTATACTCGATCACGAGCAAGCAGTCGATCGAGGAACTGAAGCCGATCTACGAGGAGATACGACAGATCAAGGGCGACACGTCCGACAACATCCCCATCATGCTCGTCGGCAACAAGTGCGACGAGACGGCGCGGGAGGTGTCCGTGCAGGATGGCATCAACCTCGCCAAGCAGTGGACGAGTGCCTTCATGGAGACGTCGGCGAAGACCAATCACAACGTCAAGGAACTGTTCCAGGAGCTGCTGCAGCTAGAGAAGCGAAGGACTATGAGTCTGCAGCTGGAGACGAAGAAGACGCGATCGCAGAAGCGAAAGGAAATGTTGAAGGGCAAGTGCGCGATCATGTGAGATGGACGCAGGGTATCCGGTCCGGTACGTGAGAGAGACACGAGGATATCTGGTCCGGTGCGTGAGAGAGACACGGGATATCCGGTCCGTTACGAGAGAGACGCGGGATATCCGGTCTGATACTTAAGAGACACAGGATATTCGGTCCGGTCGAGGGTTGAGAGTCAGGTACGAGGTCAGGACACATGATGCGAGCGTCGCATGCAACTCTATAGAGTCTCTGTCTCCCTGCCACTCTGCCTGCCTGCCTGCCTCCCTGCCTGCCTCCCTGCCCGGACTGTCTTTCTACGTCCCTGTCTCTCTGCCTCTCTGCTTCTCTGCCTCCCTGAAAAAAATCGTTCAAAATGTGAAAAAAGTATGAAAAGTGGTACACTTGCGGACCGCGGACTTGCGGAGAGTGGACACACTGTACGGTGTCAAACCGCTTCCAACGGCTTTCCTAGCTTTCGTTGCTACTACACTTGATTGGCTGCTAAAAACAATCGCGTTCGAACACGATGATTCATTGTTGGGCGCGCTGGCGCTAGCTGGTGCAAGCGCATGCAAGCGCATGCGCCGTACGCAAGCGATGGAAATCGGGCGATTAAAATCGGCGTCGACGTGAACGGGCACACGGGCGAATTTTTCGAGCGATTTTAAAATTCGCGGCGATCGGGCGATAAAAATCGCTCGTGTGCCCCTACCTTTAGTGCAAAATATGGGCCGAATCGTTACAGAAGTGACAAAAGTCTCAAACTTGGCACAGTTGTAGCTTAACTCAAATCCTTCGCGAAATATTAGAGCTAGTACACTATCCTACGGGCCATAGCCGCGCGTATATATATTAGCCTATGAGCGATACCGTGCGTATATTTTTGGTAATGAATTAAACTATTCGTGCTCAAAATTCACAGAGACCATAGCTAAGACATGTGTTTATATGTATCTAGAATTTTAGAAAATGTAACAAATCGTTCGCGAGATATTAGAGTTAGTACACTATCCTACGGGCCATAGCCGCGCGTATATATTAGCCTATGAGCGATACCGTGCGTACATTTTTGGTAATTAATTAAACTATTCGTGCTTTAACAAACTCAATATTCACAGAGAGTATAGCTAAGACATGTGTCTATAGGTATCTAGTGGAAGCGACGCGGGCTTATTAGTAGGTGGGCGCGACACACACGCGCTCGCGCACGCGCTTCCTTTCTCTCACACCCACACACGCACACACACACGCACGCACGCACGCACACACATGCCCAGACGTACGCACAGATAATCTCTCATACGCACGCACACACTCCCATGCACGCACACACGCACGCACGCACGCACGCGGCCATCGGGAGGTCATAGAGAAGCCGTAGAGCGACTGTCAACAGCAATATGTGATGACTTCCGATGATCTGATGCAGGTTTGTAAGACAGTCTCAGTGCGCGATCGCTCCCTCTCTAGCAGAAGATTAGCAATTCTACGGATTCTTCATGCGAGTCTAAAAGACATAATCACCTAATACGTATAAGGAAGGGTTACATGCAGGGGCGGCGCCACAGGGGGGGCAGGGGGGGGGGCGGTCGCCCCCCCTATCATTTGCAAGAAAAAGGAAAGAAGAAGAAGAAAAAGAAAAAGAAAATTAACGAAATAAGAAAAAGAAAAAGAAAAAGAAGAAGAAGAAGAAGAAAAGAAAAAGAAAGAAAAGAAACATCTTGCAAATGTCTTGCAAATGATGGGTGGGGTGGGGGGGTCACCCCCCCCCCTCCATCATTTTGCAAGAAAAAGGTAAAGAGAAGAAGATTCTTGCAAATAATAGGGGGGATCGCCCAAAATGAGTGATGTACCGTCAGCTTGGGGCTACTTTGAACACTTTTCAGATATTTTTTTAAAAATATTGCACATGGTATAATGAAATCTTTGAATGGTGAGCTATATTGGGGCTATACTTGAATCAAAAGAATGGTTGTATAAATTATCAGATTGGTTAAAGTGATGTGATAATTTTTTTGGATTTTTATTTGTTCAAAGAAACCCCTGTGTTAGGGGCTATTTTGAACGTTGTGTGTGTATTTTTTTACAATTTCAAGTCAGCGATTTGCAATTTACTGCGGGACTCCTATTTCATGTATTAAATATTCAAATACTTTGTAAAATATTTTATTCATCAACAGAAAAATATGCAAAAATAATTTTGTCAATAAGATTGCCATATAGCCTAATTCTCATTTCATTTTTTTTGGCCCGCGGTGTTCAATGTTTGCCCCGCTGAACTATTTACTCGCACTCACTTTTCATCTTTACACAAAGGTAGCCCCAGCTTGACGTTAGCTAACACAGCCCCTGGACCACTTTCATCGAAATTAACAACTTAACAGCGCTCGAAATTCAATCCATATAAAAACTCAGTATGTGTGTTAATTTGATATCGATGTCAAGGTTTTATTTCCTTGGGATTCCCAAGTGCTGGGACCATCTTTGTCGATGATGCTGTGTTCGGCGCGTAAGGTAGGCAGCACTTAACGGGGTTAACAACTTATAACATTATAATTACAATATACGTATCAGGACTGACCCTAATAATACTCTACATGCCTATCTTATTGTTACCTCCGCCCACGAGTGGAGGGAGAGGTTATGTGATCCGGGTCTGTGCGTTTCGCTGTACACGTTAGCCCCTTCAACTACGTGGTCCCGTGGTGGCCGTCCGGTTGTCTGTGTTGTCTGGTGTGTTGTGTTTGTAGTGTGTGATGTGTTGTGCGTGGCGTGCGTGCCGTCAGCGTGCGTGCGTCCTGACGTCGTGTGTGGACGCGATCGATTTACTTACGCGCGTCAGCGATTGGCGA